ATATCCATGCAAGTCCACTTAGGGCTTCCATACCTCGTAACCATCATCAGCTTAAGAAAACACACTTTTTATTTATTGTTCATGGCGGTTTTGATGCCTCTTCATTACTCACTCTGTGTTGAAAAGTCTAAGAACACACAGCTGGGCCTTTGGGTCTCCTGTTTTACAACAACAAACAATGTTAGGTCGAGTTCATGTGATTTATGATGGAGTATAAGGGCCACGTTAAAGGAAGAATGTACAACTTTTTGATCCAGTAGATGTGTCCTTGGAGCACCAGCATGAAAACCAAAACAAACTGCTGTTTGGCCACGCCTCCTCCATACTGAAGCCTCCGCTGTCCTCCAGAGACACACCTCCAAACCCCCCCCTGCTCGCGTTCACACAAAGGAGTTATCAATTAGAAACGCGCCATGATTAAGCACCATTAAGCGCAAGACAAAATTGACGTTTGCTTGAGCTGCAATCACCTGTGTCCTGCATTGTTGTGTTAGCATGCTAATGTTAGCGCTCTTAAGTTAGCTCGTAGCTTCACATTGTTGTGTTAGCATGTTAATGTTAGCGCTCTTTAATTAGCTCGTAGCTTCACATTGTTGTGTTAGCATGCTAATGTTAGCGCTCTTTAATTAGCTCGTAGCTTCACATTGTTGTGTTAGCATGCTAATGTTAGCGCTCTTTAATTAGCTCGTAGCTTCACATTGTTGTGTTAGCATGCTAATGTTAGCGCTCTTTAGTTAGCTCGTAGCTTCATATTGTTGTGTTAGCATGCTAATGTTAGCGCTCTTTAGTTAGCTCGTAGCTTCACATTGTTGTGTTAGCATGCTAATGTTAGCGCTCTTTAGTTAGCTCGTAGCTTCACATTTCATGTAAACTGACACAGAATGAGCGTGATCTAAAAACTCTTACTAACATCCAAATAATCAGTGAGTATGTTCTTCTTCTTCTCTCTAGTTCTTGACTAAAACAGCTTTTATACACAAGGGGAGGAGCCGGCCGTCCCGTCCATGTAAACACGGCTCTGACAACAACACAGCCAGCGGGACTCGAGCTTCTCCCTCATTGTAGACAGTCAGGACTCAGAGACACATTTACACAGGACAGACTTGATATCTGCCGTATTTATGTAAAACATGTTGCACATTCTTCCTTTACAGTTGTTTAAATTAATGACATTATTCTCATAAATTTTACGACTTAAACTCGAAATCTCCCCTTAATGTGGCCCTAATACTCCTTTGGGCAAGTGACATTTTGAGAGACAATCTTTGGAGAGAAGTTACATTCATGGCAGCAGAATTCATGGTGATGTTGACTCGGTCCTGCAGTCCGGAAATATTCCTTCCACTCACACTCAGGCCAACCAGTCTGTTCTCATATAAAACCTCCGAGGTCTAAAACACAACAAACAGACATCAGTTAGTTTGACCATTTACAGAAATATTATAAACAACCTTTCAATGTGAACCCACATGAGAACATTTCTGAGCTTGTTCTGCACGTCCTGCCGAGAACAATGGTGCAGTACAGAGAGTAACTACCTCTTATATAGAAAAACACAATTGTTACTCAAACCGGCGAGCTGCACCACTGCATTTGAGGATATTGTGTGAGGACGTGTGTTCCTCTTTTGTGAGAGATTTATGCTGCTGTCATAGTTCCCCTAAAAACCTGTCTAGCTGTTTGTGATTGCAGAGTTTAAAAAATCAGAGATCTATGCCTCCTCCTTTGTGTGTGCCATATTTATTGGATTTGTTCTGATAATATGGGATAAATTAATAAAAACAAAAATGGCAAAAATCCAAATTAGAAGCCACATCTCAAAATTACACAACATGTTCTTATAAGCCAAAACAAATGCATGCCAAGCAAACCCGCTGCAAATACATAAAAGATGCAAAGTCCAAAAAACAACCCAAAAAAATGAAACATGCAGCAAATCCTGACATCACAACAGAAGTGCTCCAGGCCTGTAGGGGGCGCTCAGTGGAACAGACAACAGCTGTGCGGAAAATAAATGGGAGATCAAGAGTACGCCAAAAAATCTGGGAAAATCTCCAGTCTGCATCAGAACATTCTCCCTTGGGTACTGTTTCCCACAATGCAAAGCACCAGGTCAGAGTTTGCGATGACGGACAGCAACGTCCATCGTAACAGAAGAAGTAATCACAATCCACACTTAACCACACAAAGGTACCACCAGTTATCTTTGTTGATTCTCTAAATCATGACAATCTAAATGAATCTATGAATCTACACTGTAGCGGCGTTTGACATCAGCTGGGTTGTTGTTTACTTCCTCATTCCAACACTGGAACCAGCTTAGCCGGGACAGGTGTACTGTAGAATAACCACCGACTGGAGGTCATAACTACATACTGCTGTTGGACGCAGTATAAAGTATTTACTGCATCCACTAAACTGCATTTTATTGGTTTTGAAAACAGCCGACTAAATCATTGATTATCAGAACACAAAATGAAAAAGGCTGAGCGGTCCCTGCAGTCCATGGATGACTAACTGCAGTGCAAAAACCATACGCAACTTTAGAGTCTGATTTTGGTGTTTTTTTTCTTTATAAAGAAATGTTTTCTGAAGAACAGAAAGCGTTGCTAAATAGACTACTGCTAAGGGTATAGCTAGCCGTGCTATCGGTTAGCTCTGCAGTTAGCAGCATTGTTATGTTGTATGAAAGCAAAGCAGTCTTTTTCTTAAAGCTTTAAATGTTAAAATGTATGAACCAAACATAGTTATGCGTAATCATTTTTGACTGTAGTGCTTCAAACGAATTTGACATGTAAACTGTGATTTCTGACCTTGTTTGTTCCAGGCAACGTAAGCATCAAGAACACCACCGTGTTTAATCCAACATTAATCTCGCTGGGCAGGCGAACATTCACTCTGCTGTTGGTGACGGCCATATCTGATGTGGCCTGAAGGTGAAAACAGGAAGAGAAACATTACTACATACTTCAGAAGTTTAGCATATTAGCATCCTAACATTATCAGCACCAGTAGGCTTATCTGAAGCTGATGTGTTTTGCAGGAAACGTTAGACTCGCAGTGGTTTTCAAACTTATTTCTGCTATCGGCCAAATCTCCTCTCTGCTTTTTGCACATGATGTGGTTTTGTTAGCTTCCTCATGCTGGGACCTCCAGCAGGCATTGGATCGGTTTGCAGCCGGGTGCGAAGCAGCTGGGTTAAGTGTCAGCAACTCCAAGTCCGAGGCCATTTTTCTCTGCCAGAAAACAGTGGATTGCCCTCACCGGGAGGGGAGTGAGTCCCTGTCCCAAGTATCTCGGGGTCTTGTTCACAGTCAGGGTAAGATGGACTGTGAGATGGGCAGGTGGATGGCTCAGCATTGGCAGTAATGTGCGTGTTGTGCCGAACCGTTGTGGTAAAGAGGGAGCTGAGCCTGAAGGCAAAGCTCTCGATTTACCAGTCGATCTTCGTTCCTGTGGTCATGACCTTTAGGTAGTTACCAAATTAAAACAGCCGCGGATAAAAGCGGCTGAAATGAGTTTCCTCTGGAGGGTGTCTGGGCTCAGCCTTACAGATAGTGTGAGGAGCTCGGACATTTGGGGGGAGCTCAGAGTAGAGCTGCTACTCCTTCAAATCAAAAGGAGCCAGCTGAGGTGGTCCAGGCATCTGATTAGGATCCCTCCTGGATCCTAATCAGGTTTTCCGGGCACACCCAAATGAGTTGAGACCCCGAGTTCGCTGGAGGGATTATATATCTCGTCTGGCCTGGGAACTCCTTAGAATCCCCCAGGAGGAGCTTGAAACGTTGCTGGGGAGAGGGAAGTCTGGGTTGACTTTCTCCCATTGGGACCCAACTGGTAGAAAATGGATGGACCATTTTGTATAAATCCAGATTTTCAGCAAATCCAGATAAAGTCAACCTTCAACCGTGTTAAGCCAAAAATCAACCATTAAGTTACAAAAATCACAATGACATAGCGTAAAATAAAATAAGCTCTTACCTCACTGTTACTCGCAGAAATCTGAAGACCTGCAAAGGATCCTCTAGGTCTGTGCAGGAACACGACCACATTGTCGCGAGACATGGATGACGTCTCGTTCACCTCCGTTGCTTCTAGAACCTGTTCCAAGCTCTCCATGGCTCTAAAGAAAATCCCCAAAATAAATCCATATATAAGTCATTCTGTGTCTCTAAAGCTAAAGCACTTAATACCAGTGATAAAATAAACTTTAAGACAATAAAACAAAACGTTTACTCGATGGTGTCCTGGCGGTTTCCATTTCTCAAAATGCTGTTGACATTCTCCATACACGTTATGGCCTCACTAATCCCTGGAGGGTAAGAATGAGTTAATGGATTGATGCACACTTGACAATATTTCATATGTTTTCTATCTATAATGAATGCTGAAGCGTCTCACCTGCTGTCTCTGTTCTTTGACAACGATTCTGACGATTTACTGGTCCGCTGTTTTTATTTCGTCCTGACCTCTAGTCCCATTTGGACTGAAACGTTTGTTGCTTCCTGAACCCAGACTGTTATTCTGACATGAACCGTCAGAACAGTCCCGACCATCCCGACCATCCCGACCAGAATCTGGCTCTTGAGACGGATTTAATTCTCGATTTGGATTCTTACCTAAACCTTGATTTATATGCCCACCTGAATCTGGACTTGGATGACCGTCACCCCTTTCTTGAGCCTGACTATCATCACCTAAAGTTTGATGACTCTCCCGACCTGAATTTTTGTTACCTTCCTCCTCAGAATCTTGATTTATGTCCTCTTCCGAATCTTGATTTCGAACATGAGCGGGAGCTGGATCTGGACCTAAGTATTGATCCTTATTTTTATCCGGACTACTGTTCCGATTGTTTCCTGAACAGGTGGTGTTTAGAGCCATCAAAGACAGGACCAGCCAACAAAGGAGCCACCGGTCCATCCTGTTGATGAGGATTCACATAGAATAAAAAAACCTTTTAAAAGACATATATTGTGCAATGCACAGCCAAGATATCGACACAAAATCAGATTTTAAAAATGAAATGTTTGATTTGTTTTGGACAATTGATTTAGACTTTGTTTGGGGGAAATTGGAGCTTACATCTCCTTCACTATCCTCCTGAATTTATACTTTATGATTTTCGAGGCTTAAATAAAGGTTGATTTTGTTAGAAACTCCCTGAAAATTCTTGGACAAGGTGGTGCTGGATCGCCTATAGCGGTTGTGACGGTAACCCCATGGACAGAGGCGCTGCTTGTCAACAGGCAAGGCAGGCAACTGCTTGGGGCCCCAGGCCAGTAGGGGGCGCCCAACGGCCAACAAACTTTAAACCACAACATTGCCTCAAAATGTGCATATTTTGAAATGACGGTAGGAAACCTCCCTAAGGGGAACCCCATCTGACAGCACTCACTCTCAATGCCCTGCTAAGCATTGCAAACATCATTGCTGTGAAAGCCAACAAATTTCAACAAAGGAAAATTAAGAGGAATTATTTGTCCGGGAGTGAAAAAGGAAAGATGGAAATAATAATTTACGCTGGTTGGAGGGGCCCCCGATGAATTTTTGCCTAGTGCCCCAACAGACTCTAGAATCGCCCCTGCCCATGGAGGCTGTAGTCCTCATCCCGGCAGCTGACCTCGGCTCTTTGCTGCATCTTAGCCTCTGCCTCTCTTCAGCTGTTCTATACAATAAAGAAAAGAATCGCCCAAAAATATGACCACAAAAATATTCTCAGCCAAATTAAAAAATCTCTTCAAACTCCCTGCTATTTCATTTCATACACCAGTGTGCCTCAACCATGCTTTCGCCCCAGCATTGCTTGACAACACCTCTGTCATATGATGTGCAGAGGAGATTTTTATTTAGACAACAAGTTTTCCTCTTTTGGGCGATTTACAACGTAGTTAAAAGTATAATCTACCTCATTTGAACTTCCTCAATTTAGGCATCCCTCATTTAGAGTCCATCGGTGAGATACATGCTCTTTCAGAACTGCTTTCTGTTTCATCAGAGAGCCTGAAGCTCATCACCAAATGTGGTAATCATTATTTCTGAAGATTAATATAATTGGTGACGTTAATGAAGATGACAATGGTTTTGTTTGAAAATGACGATTTTAGGATGGTTTTGATTAGAGCTCTCAAGAACAGCTGTCCATGTTGTGCTCTGCCTCTGGTCACTTCCTGTCAGCACCTGTGGTCACATCCTGTCAGCACCTGTGTGTCCGATCAGACTTAAAGCTGTTTTTTTGCACTTCCTGTCGTTGTGTCCCCCTCTCTAGATCCTCGCTTGTGTTCACTTTGGGTAAAAGCGTCTCATAAATGAATTGTAGAATCAAGGTGTGAATGTGTTGGTGTGACCTGCAGTGTGTAAAAGCGCTTTGAGTAGTCAGAAGACAAGAAAAGACAGACTCTGTGTCTCCACTATGAGATGAATGTAAATCAAACGATGGCACTTTCCTGCATTTATTTTAGCATCGTCCATAAATATATCAATTCTGGTCAAGAATTCAAATATATTTAACCGCAGACCTTTTGGTTGAGAGATGACAGACTTTACCAACTGAGCCACAGCAGCTCAATAAAATTAATATTTAAAACAAAGAGGTATGTGTCAAGCCTTCACACACAAACACACACAGCGGGATGTCAGCACCCAATCATATTCATTGATCTGAACCGAGACAGAATCAGTAATGATGGTCACACTAGTCGTCTCCGTGCTCTCAGTGAAATCATCGCTGATGTGAACGTCGACATAAAGAGGTTAAAATCAATTCATCGCCTACCTGCTCATGAGGCTGCGTCCTCGTAGAACTAATTTATTTATTAGTCTGTAGAGTAACGAGGGTTCAGCTGCTGCGACGACGACGACAGGAAAAGGGTTAAGTGAGGAAACCGGTCTGAATCAAAGAGCTTCATAGGAAGTTAAGAAGAACTAAACGCAACATGTAAATGACCCAATGAGACAAAAGAGGAAGCTGTGAGAAATATAAAAACTTCCACTGAGGCAAAAGAGAATGTGGGTCAACGAGGGAAAAAACCATACTCAGCGTTGTAATTATCCTTTTCATTCTGTAAACAGATTCAGCAGCAGATCTATCTCCATTCAAAGACAGTCACTGCATAAAGAAGTTATCATTATATTGCACATCATCCAGCGGCGATTTTAGGGTCTGCTGGGGCCCAAGGCAAATATTCCTGTGGGGCCCTTCCAATCAGCGTTCATCACCAATATAATAATAATAATAATAGCTTTATTTATATAGCACCTTTAAAAACAAATGTTTACAAAGTGCTGTGACAGACAAAGCAAATACAGCAACACAACAACATAACAGAGATCAACAGACGGGCCAAACAGAGAGGGCAAAATTTAAAAAATGCAAATAACAGGAAATAAGATTCAACAGGCAGGTATGAAGAGAGGCAGTTCAGTACAATGAAGGAAAATTTGTTTAAAATCAACCAGAAGAGAAAAAAAATAAAATTGAGGGAGAGTGGGACGACATCATATCACAGGCTGTAAACACAGAATGAAGATAAAAAGAAGGGATAAACGGGACATTGGTTAAATGAATAAAGCAACAGAGAGCTGAAGAGTTAAACGATAAAATGAGTAGGAATTTAAAAAGGTTAAAAGCAATAAAATTAATAAAAGGAAGGGATAGATCTTTAAAGGAGAAATCACATAAAAGCAAGTCTATAAAAGTGAGTTTTAAGAAGTGATTTAAAAGATGCCACTGACTACTCAGGCAGGTTGTTCCAAAGTTGAGGGGCTCTGATCGCAAAGTCTCGGTCTCCTTTAGATTTGAGCCTCGACTTTGGAACAACCAGAAGGGCACTGCCTGAGGATCTGAGGTCACGAGAAGGTTGGCAGGGGGTTAAAATTTCACAGATGTAACTCAGGGCATGTTGTGAATCATGTGACATCAACAAAGAAATTGTGAAACATAAACTTGCATGCCGATATTTAGAGCAAAGACCAGCAACATGCAGTCATTGACATTTCTTTCTGAGTGAGTGCTGTCAGATGGGACAGCCCCCCCTGAGAGCACTTTGCACATTTTGAGCCACGGTTTCATGTTTGTCATCCCCTTTGGGACCCCTACTAGCCCGGGGCTCCGAGCAGTCGCCTGCCTCTCCTGTGGTGAAGCAGCGCCTCTGTGCACTTGATTTAAGGCTGTTTAAGGTGACTGTATTTTATTACCCTGAGGCTACAGAGACTGGGAAGTGCAAACCAAAATGACAAAGTGTGAGAGACATTTGCAAAGCTTGAGACGTGTTTAAAACATTCTATAAAACAGACTTACAAAAGCAAAATAAAAAAACTAATTAATGAGATTCTGAACCATTTTTACGCACGTCAAGAGGTAATTTTAAAAAGAGGTGTTGTGTCCAGAATCCAGCCCACAGGAGTATGACTTAAATCAAAATTGTTCTAAAAGTCTCCTGGGTAAAATATGTGTGCAGGGGTTGAATTGTATTTGAAGCACTGCTTTCACCAGCAGGGGGCGGCAGAACATCACAAGATCTACTACACCTCACTGAGTTTAAATCTCATCTTTCTAAACGAAGCTCCTTTTCCTCTCTCATTACTGTAATTAAGGTTCAACTCATTATAATGATAGGTTTGCTAATCATGTCAATTTCATGATTTTATTATTTAATACAGCACACATCACCCAAGAACCAGGAGCTGGTGGAGGACCGCTGCAGGAATGCAGGGAGGTCCAGGTGCATGCGAGTCAAAGGGGGACTGCAGAGGGTTTGCCAGTCATTACTTGAGCCAGGCCCTGGGTATAACAGACGCTATGTAGGGGTCAGAAGAGCGCCACTTGGATCAGGACGAGGCTTCAGGTCGCCTGGACGAGGGTGTCACTTGTAGAATCCAAAACACTCAATGACTCCAGGGTACAACACTGATGATGTGTCCTATATGTTCAGCTGGAGATGTGTGAAAACTGAAAGGTGGAACATTCATTTAGTGGACTCTGGATTTGTACATGAATCAATATGTGCTGCAAGGTAGTGAGACATATTGTAATGCTAACTGAAGCTGCTAAGAACCTTTGAAAAGTGGCGTTCAGAGTTTGATTTGTTGATTAAGAAATTAAAAGAAAGTCCTAAAATAACTTCAGCATGATTTTATAAGAAGGATGAGGAGGTCTGTACATTTAATTATTCATATGGCCGTCAAATTTATATCGACAAGCGTCAGAATTATTTGAATTATTCTTAGAAAAACTCCATCGGAGGTCCATCGCTGTCAGACACACGGAGCTACTTTAGACGCCAACTGCTGTCACCTGCTCGATTTTGATGTGGACAAACAGGTGTTTATGGACCCACCTGTAGCTTGTGATTGTTCATGCATTCCACAGCTGTGTGTGTGTGTGTGTGTGTGTGTGTGTGTTTATGTGTGTGTGTGTGTGTTAACAGATCGTGGTTTATCCATCAGCGAGTTTACAGTCTGGGCATGCAGGTGTTTTTTATCTTCCAGGTGTTCAGAACAGAACCAACAGAAAAGAAAAGTGCACATTGTGATGTTTTTAACTTGTTTATTTATCAGGTTTGATCCTCGACACGGCGTGTGACCTGGTCAGAATGTTTTCCTTTGATTATTCCTCCTAAAGGACAAAATTATGTTTTATTTAGAGTCTTTCTTTCTCATTCTGTCCGAGCACAAAGTCACCAAACATTTACAAACACTCAACAGTTTTCTCACCCTGCACATTATTTCATTTTGATTCAAACGCTGTTAAATATTTTATTTTGAGCAAACAACGCGTCTCGCTGTGTAACTTCCTCAGGGGGTAACCTGTTGGCCATGCTGTTAAATATCTGTTCAAAACATTCATGTCATTTCGAGCACACTCGGCAAACTGTACCGTACCTGAGAAGGTGTGACCCCCCCCAAAGACCCGGTTCATTTTGAGATGTTTGAGTGCTCCATACACTCTTGGCCCTGGCAAGGTTGGAAGAGGCGGAGCTTCAGCGTCGGTCGCTGCACAAGCACTAGAACGCAACATGGACATTACTCATAATCAATCCCCGCCTTGCAGAATCGAGGAGTGCAGGAGTCACTGGAGACCGCGGTTGGATACATATATATGTAAAAAAAAAAAAAAAAAAAGAACAGAAACTAGACTTTAGATTATTTGAAATCAAATGTACATAAAAGGTTAGAGCTGTTGTCTCACAGCGAGGAGGAGATTTTGAAATGACAGTAGGAAACCTCCCTAAGGGGGCCCCATCTGACAGCACTCACTCTCAATGCCAATAATAATATTGGAGGGGCCCCCAATTAACTCTAGAATCACCCCTGCACATTGAGGCTGTAGTCCGCCACCCAAACGAAGGAAGCGGTTTCCATGATGCACGGATGGAACATAAAAAAGGCAAAGCGCTTTGTTTTACTAAAGAAAGATTTTCTTTATGCCGGAAGCGAAATGTTGGAAAACAAAGACATGCAGTGTTAGAACAGATCTACGAGAATGAGCGCTTTCATGCATGGGGGCATTTCCCTGTGTCGGGTTTATTTATGGCGGGACGGTTGAGATCACTCGTGCGTGGGCAGAGGTTGACTGATGTTGAAGCCTGCAGGGGGTTTGATCTCACCTGGGACAAACTGCTCACCTGGGAGAAAAGAGACCAGACTCACACACATGCAGGTGTTATGATGCTCATCGTGACTAACTGGAAACCCCTGAGTGATAAATCATGCTCTGTGTGAACGTCGACGCAGCATTTTTTAAACGTGTCAGCTTAAATAGAAACACTCTCATGATAAGGATGAGCTGCTTTTTACAGATGTAAAACAACAGCTTCCCTGACTTCACTGACGCTAGATTATTGATGACAAACGCTTTTAGAGAGGTTGTGTGGTCCTTTGTGTGTGTTTGTGTGTGTGTGTGTGTGTGTGTGTGTGTGTGTGTGTGTGTGTGTGTGTGTGTGTGTGTGTTGCACCTCTTCCTCTGTAATGACCTCGGGCCACAGAGATCAGGTTCAATGGTTTCTACAATACCAAACTGAAGTTAGTGCGTGCAATCAAAGACAACCTTCCAAAAGTCTAAATCTAAATCTAAATCTAAAAATAAACACAGGTATCAAAGATTTCAGAGCTCCAGTGAGTAACACCAGAAGACTCTAGGTCTCATTTGTCCACAGTGTATATTAAAGCAGTTAACCCTTGGGTTGCTCTTCTTGCACCTTACTTGCACATTTGCTCACCTCCATACTGCACTTTACAAAACTTAGTAAAAGTTTCCATGTTGGTGTGAGCTCCTGACTGATTTTACTGCAATGTTTTATAGTGATGTGCTATCTGATTTTTAGCTCTGTTTTAACTCAAACCTGATCATTGTCCTTGTGCTGTCTTTTGTGTGCTCTTGTGTCAAAACAAATCCCCCCTCCTGAAGATGAACTATGCGTATGAGCATTGGGTTTGGACCAGAAAACATTCATCCTAAAGTTGCTGTGGGCTAAAGAGAGAGAAGTGGTGGTCAAAGCAAATAGAAGTGAAATATAAAATGTGAAGTGCAGATCCATGCGATCTTCAGAGTCCCTCTGCACCTTTAAGAAAAAGCTAAAGACCAGCTCTTTCATGAATCCTACTAACTTAATGATGATGGTCTCCATATTATTGATGATGATGATGGTAATGACGATGGTTTTTGTTTGATAACGATGACTTATAAGATGGTTTCTATACTGATTAGAGCTCTCAAGAACTGCCCTCAATGTTGTGCTTTGCCTCTGGTCACTTCCTGTCAGCACCTGTGTGTCCAATCAGACTCAAAGCTGATCGTTTGCTCTTACTCACATTGTTCCCTTTTTTCTAGATCCTTGCTTGTGTTGTTCTTACTCTCTGATGTACGTCGCTTTGGATAAAAGAGTCTGCTAAGTGAAT